ACCACAGAGCACTTGTGGGTCCGATTTGCCAACAGACAATTCATATTTTTTATTGGCTCAGAGAGAAGTCCTTTGTGAAAATAGATAAAGTTTCCTGCATAGATTGATGAAATTTTTAGTCAGCAAAGATAAACTATTTTTAGACAGGTTAATCGTGAAAAGCGTCAACGAGTCTTTAAAATGTCAGCAGGTTTCACGAAAGAAAAAAAGGACTGGATTCATGATTATTTTGCAGGAGATGACGCAAAAGTCAGAAGGCCGCAAAGAACTAGCAATTGAAAATCTTCAAAGCTCAAAATACGATAAACGTTGTGACCTAAATCACGTTAAAAGCAGTTCAGAAGATTCTAATCTATTTACACGACACAAACGAAAAAAATTATCTCCAGTGATTTACTCCAAGATGACACTGAGGACATACCTATCCCACTTCAGACGCTCTAAGCTCTTCATGTCATCTAGCTTTATCAGCATTTTTCTCTCAGACTGAGTAGCTCCCAAGCCTTCCAGATCTTCAACGTCATTGAACCATAACTCACATTCATCATTGCACGTCATGTAAAATGTGTGGTAGCCAGTAAAAGTGACCTGAGATGAAAAAATGTAAACACGTTTAATGAAACTTACAATAACTCTACGACACCTCTCCTGACTTTCTAGTGTTATGGATAATAACTGTATGAAATATTTCTAAACATTTCTAGAATGCCTGGTCATGCTGATATGCATGCACGAACTTTCTACTCTCATGCCATGGAACCTTCTAGAATATTCTATTGAGTCACGTAGTTATGATGTAACACTACAAAAATGGATCAATTGACTCGAAATGGGTAAACAAACACGCTTTCAAGAGATATGAAGTATTTCGTGCGACTCCGTTTTCGATAATGGTGCATTACTGCTGTGCGTATAATTGCTACAATAACTCCGCTAACGAAGGACTATCTTTTCATGGTTTTCCCAGTGATAAACAACTCATCAAGGTAAGCGAATTTTTATAGCTTTTAAAAATATAGACGATCCAATGTCAGTTTCGTGAAATCTTTGATGAGCTTGATCAGCTGCTAAAGCTTGTTACTGTTTCGTTTCTAGATCTGGATTTCAAGAATTAAAAGAGATCATAAAAGAGATTTCAAGGTTTTAGAATATACCAAAGTTTGTTCGGAGCATTTCCGACGAGAAGATTTTGCGTGCTTTGACGCAAAATCGAGAAGATTGAAAGCTGGAGCTTGCCCATCATTGTTCAGTTGGTCGAAAACAAATCCCGAGCGATCGCTTCCTGAGAAGAAAAAACAGATTGAAGAGCTTAATGCTATCCCAGAATCGGAGCTAACTGACACCGCTTCAGAGGGTGAGGGGAAATTCGATTTAACAGATAAAGAAGATAATACGAAGAGCTACTAAGTTAATGTTGAGATTCTGTGCAATCACAGATTTTCACTCAGAGATCTCAGATTTTCATCCAATAGAACTGAGAGTTCTGTTGGATCTAGCCGATACACAAGCACGAGAAGAGAATTATTTCAATCAACTAACTGGATTTAATAGCTATAAGAAATTTCAAGGGGTTTTAAAATTTGCACTTCCAGGGAGAGAGAAAGAATATCGTATACTGGAAAACGAAAGCTATCAAAACCAAAGAATTGATACCTCCTTGTTATTTGATTCAGATGAAGAATCTGCACAAAGCGATGGCAGTGATTCAGGGTCAGACTCTAGCACTGAAAGAAATCACATTCTAGTGATAGAAGACGAGTTTCTTTTAGTGCTTATGAAACTTCGCTTGGGGCTTACAAATTTAGACTTAGCCACAAGATTTAAAGTTTCAGAAGCAACAGTTTCTAATATATTTATCACGTGGCTCGACTTTTTATACATCCGCCTTGGTGCTCTCAAAGTGTGGCCCCACAGGAGGGTTATATTGGATAAAATGCCCAAAAAATTTCAAAGAGGAACATCCCAATAACATCATAATCATAGGCTGCACCGAGTTGAAGATTCAGTACCAATCTTCACTTGTAGTGCTATCCCAAAGTTACTCAAATTATAAAATCTACAAACACTTTGAAATCCCTTGTAGGTTTTGATCCAAAGGGAGGTTTTATGTTTGTATCACAGTTGTACACAGGATCAAAATCGGATAAGCAAATTGTCACAAGAAGTGGATTTCTTGACTTACTGTCAAGCAAAAAAGAAGTGTCAGAAGTTGATGATGGTGATAGTATCATGGCAGACAAAGGCTTTGATATTGAAGAAGACTTAAAGAAATGTCATACAGCTAAATAATTCCTAGTTATTTCAAAATTACTCTCGATATCCTTGACCCTATAAAGGTTCAGATAACAGGGGTTTATGCTAAATTCAACTTTTTCTTCTGATGAAAAATGACATGTCAACATTGTATACTTGATTTTAGATCCTAATAGAGGGTGTGATAAAAGGTGGAAGCTCAGGGGATATAGCTATTGATGACGTCACTGTTTTAACTGGAATCTGCATTAAAATCGTGAAACAGGGTAAGCTAAACTTCCCAAAGAGTTAAAATCAAACTGGGAAGGCAAATTGTGTTTGAAAGAATTTTATTTTAGTGCCCAACTGGCATATGGCGAGATTTTTTAATCCCTGTAACCGAAAGTATTATCACTTAAGCATGTAGATACACGACTAGATTCAGGAGTTCTCACAATACTGTTTCGTATGGTTGTAGAAAAACCACACCCACGAGGCAACTTTGGCCATTAATCTTGACCTTAACATGCTGGCCTAGAATAGAGCGTTTTCACTCACATGATCAAATTTCTTTATCGTCATGGTAACCGACTTCATCCGCCATGTTGGTGTTCCATGACAAATAGCTATTGATGACGTCACTCTTTTAACTGGAAGCTGCATTAAAATCGTTAAACAGGGTAAGCTAAACTTCCCAAAGAGTTAAAATCAAACTGGGAAGGCAAATTGTGTTTGAAAGAATTTTACTTTAGTGCCCAACTGGCATATGGCGAAATTTTTTAACCCCTGTAACCGAAAGTATTATGACTTAAGCATGTAGATACACGACTAGTTTCAGGAGTTCTCATAATACTGTTTCGTATGGTTGTAGAAAAACCACACCCACGAGGCAACTTTGGCCATTAATCTTGACCTTAACATGCTGACCTAGAATAGAGCGTTTTCCCTCACATGACCAAATTTCTTTATCGTCATGGTAACCGACTTCATCCGCCATGTTGGTGTTCCATGACAATCAGCTGTGTGACAGGAAACATTTGGAGCACATTTTACGGTTTTGAGAAGACAATAGTGTAATATTTATATTTTCTTTATAACGGTACTTTGCCTTGTCATCATTTTCAATGCATCAAATTTTAAAGACTGGTATAA